GATAACAGATCTGTATGTTCGATAAAGAGGAGAAGTCTTAATTTGATTGGTCTTGTTTGTCTATTTCTGATATTTCATTGTAAGCCGATCTTATAATACAAACGCCGGATCCTTTTAACGCATAAAGTTGTTAACTGAGTGCAATGGAATCGATAATGAAGGAAACACCAACTTTTCCCGCGAACATAGGGTTCCTTCCTAGTGGCATTAGGGTACTTTCAATTGTTATTAGAGCTTGGTGCTCTTTGATTTAAGGTTTAATCGCCTTGAGTTAAAGATCCAAGTTATCTTTTGCGCTAATCTAATTTTGATATTTATTGTTGTCTTGCTTGCACATATTTTTTATTATGGATATGAGATTAGGCTATGATCCAAATGTTGCTCATAGAATAGATAATTTCCCCTATGACCAATGGTGTTCTAGATTTAACATATTTGTTAGATCTAAACAATTCGATTTATAGGAAGTTATTGAAGATGCTTATATTGTACCCACTTTGGACAAATCCAAGTAGAGTAAAAGTGATAAAAGAATGTTTAATATGAACAAACTTTTGTTAGAATATTTGCTTAATGCTTTTGACTCATCCTTTTCTAACAAATTTGTTCATTTTGATAGTGCTTACACCTTATAAAAATTTATTGAAGCATATCACGGGAACTTGGAGGTGATCCAACAAGCTTTGGAGGCTTTCTCTTCAAGTTCCATTGGAGCATCATGCACATGAGCACTAGGCGATAGCCCTAGTGAAGTTTACGAGTTCGAATCCATTAATGATTTATCTAATGATGAACTTGCTTGTGCTAGTAAAAAATTATTACATGCCTATAACAAGTTATATAAAAATTTTATTGATCTTAAAAGAAAGCATAATGCATTAAAATCTGATCATGAGGAGCTAGTGTCCAAATTTGATGTCATTGCAAAAGAAAATACTATACTTAAAAGAAAACAATGACATGTTAATTTTGAAATAACCACATCTATAACTAGCTTATCTCATGAAAAAGATAATGCCATATTAGAAGTAGGGAACAAAAAAGTGATACTGCTTCTTTCATAAATGACTATTTATGTTCTACTTCTAATGTTAATGCTAATATGCCTAATGATGAGTTGAACAATGTTAAAAACCATATTTCTTCTTTAGATTTAACTCTAACTACATGTATTAACAACCATAAGAAACTTGTGGATATGTGTGCCAAGTCTAGTGCAAAATCATCCACTCATTATGCACACATATATAACAAAGTTTATAAGTGTTCAATTTGCAGCCGAAAAGGTCATATTGCTAAATTTTCCTATGATGCACACAAACACAAGAATATTAATGTTCCTTGTGCATCCCATTCAGTTTTTTTATCATGTACACATACACATTCACATGTTCATACTCATAAAGTTCATCATAAGCATGCTTGTGTGTTTAAATGTGATTTTTGTGGTAGATTTGGTCATTTGGCCAAGTTTTGTTTTGATTTGGAGAGAGTTTACCATTTGCAAAATAATTTTAAAGAACAATCTATTTTTGCAAATGAGTCTCATGCACAACCGTTTGGTCAACATAAGCAAATACTTCCTTTTTATTATACTTATTACAATCGGAAGGGTCATTTAAGTAATTTTTGTTATGACCGTGTCTGTACACACTACATGCGCCCAAAAGGGTTCATAACTCTAGAGCTTTGAGCATGAATGATAAGAGTCATGTCACTAACTAATCTGGCACCAAGAATGCTTGGGTGCCAAAATCTTTTTGAACCAAGAATTTTATCATTTTTTAATTTTCATGTCTTGGTTTTGAAAAATGTTTTTTGAATTTTTTTTGAATATGAAAACAACTTTTCTTTGATCAATTCTTTTGTTTTCATTTTATTGACTTTGGTTTTGTTGAGAGGTTTGTGTTTTGAGCAACCCCCCAGATTTATTAGGTGTTTATTTCCCAAATTTTGTTTACCCGGTGCTAAAATGTTTATATGGGTTGTTACTAGCTTTAGAGCTAGATATGGTTGCTCTCTTAATTTTTAAAAATCAATGATGATTTGGTTTTATGTGATTTACTTGTGATTTATGATTTCATTGGTTTATTTGTTTACATTTGAAAACTTTTTGCATGATACTCATGTTTTCTTTCTTTTGATATCATAATTTTTTTTGATTAGGTTTTGTTTTAAAACCAATGCTTTGAGACACCTCTTTCATATTGACATATCAATATGTATCCTTATTGTATTTTTATGTGTGAGTGGTGTTTAGCATATTTTTCATCTATGCTTGCTCACATGAATTGCCTTGCACTTCATTGCATATATTCTATATGGCATTTTGATAGGGGGAGCAATACCTATTTTTGTGTTATACTCACCATGCTTATAGGTAGGGGGAGCATTTGCTCTCTTTATTCTTTTGTTTTCCCCTTTTTGATGTTGTCAAAGGGGGAGAAATATTGTGAGTATATTCTTCTTGTTTATACGCATGATAATTATAATTTGTATATTCATTTTCTTTCATGCATATATATCTTTTTATAAATTGTTCAAGTCGAGCTATATTGAAGACCTTCAAGCTTGGGTATATAGTTTATAGTATTTGTAGTATAGGTTTATACTTGTGTGTTAATACTTTAAGCTCATATTATTCATACACACACGTATTTGGTGATTTTATCAAAATATAGGTGTTTTTGATAAAATATTATTTTATTAGTTTATAGACTTCAACATCACTTTATACATAATTTATCAAGTCTATAAAAATATTTCACAAAGTGTCAATATTGTGTTTATGTCAAATGACAAAAACATGTATGTTTAGTGTTTATGTTTTTGGACATATTTGGAAAATGATGAGTTTTCACTATTGAGAAGTGAAATTTCAAAAATCCTTTTTGTAACATGTTCATTTATATGTTTACAATGATTTTCTAAAGTTTTACATATTTTAGAATTTATTTACTATTTTTAAAGGCACTTCAAAAATCAGGTTTTCTGTTTCAATCAGGCTGATACAGTGTTATCAGTCGACTGACGGAATTTATCAGTTGACTGATGAAAATGGCTTGAATCATCAAAAAGCCTCTGTTTCTTTTCAGTCCACTGATCAGTCGACTGATGAGGTCATCGTTCGACTGATCAGTCGACTGATAAGCTCATAACGGCTAGTTTTGTACTATTTTCAGATTTTTAGTTTTTAACTAATTTACTAAGACTGATAAGCTCATAACGGCTAGTTTTGTACTATTTTCAGATTTTTAGTTTTTAACTAATTTACTAAATAATTTATTTCTATCAAATGAGAAGTGTTATTCATAAAATTATTCCTCTAAAATGTTCATCTACATTTTTATAAACTTCGCTCAAAATTTTATGATTTTTAGAGTTGATTTACTATTTTTAATTGATTTTATAAAATCAGATACGCAAAATTCCGGAATCTGCCAAATCTGGAATTGTCGACTTCATCAGTCAACCGATGCACTGTAGTCAGCCGACTGATGACCTCTTTTTAGCCTATAATGGCTAGTTTTCCAGATTTTGTCTTTTTGTGATTTTTCTTGGGTTTTTACTGGTTTTTGGGGTTGTTTCATGAGCCTATATATACCTCTTGCCCTCTAACATTCTGAAGTAATTAAGAAAAGTTTTAAAAGAGGTTTAACAAGTTTGAAGGGTGTTTAGTGTTTGATTCAAGTTTGAGTTTTGAGTTTCAAGTTTGTGAAGTAATTTTCACAAGAGCTAAAAGAGATCATCCTTTGGTGTTTGAGCTTCAACTCATCTCTCTCTCTTTCTCTTGTCATGTAGAGAAGTTTTTCTAAACTCTTATCTAGTTATTTATTTGTTTGATTTTCATTTCCATAAGCTAGAACTTATTTGAGTTTAGATTTATTTTGATTATACTCATTGTTCACACACGACCTATTGAGCTTATTATATTTGCATACATAGTATTATTTGGGGTTGTGGGATTGTAATTTTGAGTGTGGGTTTAATTGTG